ATAGCACAAGGTTCGTGCTTTTTTTACAAATTTAGCACAAGCAGACGCAAACACACTCACAACCAGAAAAGCACTAAAAAAAAACACAACCTAGCAAACACACACACACACACACAAAAAATAGCACCAGAAAAACACAAAAAAAAACACAATCGGATCAAAACTAGCACCAGAAAAAACACCAGAAAAAACACCAGAAAAAGCACAAGAACAAAACACAAATTAGCAAGCACACTCACAAAAAATAGCACCAGAAAAGCAACACAATCGGATCAAACATAGCACCAGGAAATCCAAGGGTGTCAGAGCCGAGTCAGAGCCGAGTCGGAGCCGATGTTTGTGTTTTCGACTTCGATGAGGAGAGCCCGGGATCAGCCCAGCCCAGGACCAGCCGGACCACCAGCCCAGGACTAGCGCACCCAGGACCAGCATGTCAAGACCAGCCAAGAAGGACTGGGCCAACCCAGCCCGGAACCAACCCAGCTGGCCGGCTGCGCAGGCCAGCTCTGTTTGCCAGACAAATTTTCTCAATCAGCTTAATCACTGCGCTCCTGAATTTGATGCTGCTGGGGGCGAGACTGTAGAGAAGGTTTGCAAGCTCAGTGTAGGGGCACAGGGTTGGAGGAGAGGGAAGCAGGTTCCGGGTTGAAGGCTCTAGGGTGCGGTCTGATCATGCATGTTGCCATTTTCCAGCATTTTGCTGGTGCCCTTTTTGGTGCTTCTGTTTGTGCTCACTATTACAGGGGCGGGGGTCCTCCAAATATGTATATATATATATATAGAGAGATTATATTCCCTTATTCCCTACTAAGAACCGGTAAATTCAGTCGCAGTCACATGCGACCAGGCCTGGAACAAGACCAAACGCGACAGGCCCCAGCCAGATCATTTGGCTCGAGGCTCAGCATGTAGTAGTATGTGGTACTATAGCATGAAGAGAACTCCACTTTTTAAACATACATGTATGTATATATATATATATATGTGTGTATGTACGTATAGATATATGTGAATATATATATATGTGTATGTATGTATAAATATAAGTGATTGTATACATATATGTATGTGTATTCATATACATACGCACGCATCTCTCTCTCTCGCTTTGTTTGTCTCTCTCGCTCACTGTGATAGGCACTACAGCTACCCCTGGTTTGAAACGGATCCCGCATCTGTCTCTAGATATGCAGACGCTCTCTGCTTCTTGAGGGCTTTCTCCTCAGGCAAATCGGCCTGCACCGTTGGTCGTGGAGGATCGCTTTCCAGTTTTCTTTGAAGTATAGAGTTTCCATAAATAAAGAAGCCAGTATGAACCCCGAAATACAAAAATCCTTTTTTGTTATGGGGGCCCTAAAAGGTATCCGTTATTTTGGGAGACACCCATATCAGTGGCGCATGGCATGTGTCTGCTGCAATTCTGTCCAGCCGCTGGCAAAGACTCTGGCTGAACAAAAGTCAAAGCCATAAGCCACAAGCTTCACCCAAAACGCAGGTGTCAGCGAAGGGTGTCGTGCAGGCAAAGAATATTTTAGACCCTGAACCCAAAACCCTGAAACCTAAACCCTAAACCCTAGGCTGCCATGTTTCGCAAGCAATCACTCCAGGATCTTGTGGATCCACTCGGACAGGCCGCCGGTGGTGTCATACTCGCCTAAGTAGAAGAAGATATTCAGTTGCATTTGTTAGGTGGACCCCCCACCCAGTAATAGTGACTAGAAGGGATAATAGGGATTATATTGGGGACCTCTTATATTCTTATTATGCCACTATTACAGGGTGGGGGGTCCTTCTAATGCATTTCTTATGAGCGAAGCCACCTCCAGGGACCCTTAACAGTGGCCAACCGGGGTGCGTCTTATAGTGTAGTCTAGTCCCCAACATGGTCCCTAATAAGGACCCATGTCCATGAAATTATTCAAGGAAAAATGGGCTGTAGCTCATATGAAGCCTAAACCCTAAACCCTTTAAACTCTCCAGCAGCGTAAGGACTGTGGGAAGTGCGCCCAGTCGCTTCCTGCACCGCAAATCTTCAAAGTGCCAGCAGAACCAAGCTCCCCCAAAAAGGTTGTGAAACTACTGCTTAGGGTTTAAGGGTNNAGGGTCAAGGGTTTAGGGTATAGGAGTCACTACCATCATAACAAGGGAAATAGGAAAATATTGATGATCATGCCTGAATGTCGCTGGAATCATCCGAGTAAAAGTTTCAGATAAGTGTCGGCGTGTTCAATGCGGGCCTTTGTCAAGTAGGAAACCTCCTCAGTGCCTTTCTACTGCACTCCATATCCCCAGGGTCCGCGAGGCACCACCGGAATTTGACACCCCCCTTACCAATACTTCATGAGATTTAGGATCCCACGCAAGCTCTGCTGCGCAGATTCCCCTTGCTCCAGTGGCTCCAGATGCTCCAAAGGCCATCTGGGACTGTGCGCTGTTCACTCTCTAAATGTTCCTGAGCTTGCTGAACCCCAAACCGGCCCTGGACCCCTAAGCCCAGAATCCTGAGCCCTTTCAACTCAGAATCCTAAACCCCTAAGACCCGCTAAGCCCATAATCCTAACCCCCAAGCCCTCCAAAATCGTAATCCTAGTCCCTAAGCCCCCCAAAACTCATAATCCTAAACCCCTAAGCCCAGTCCCCCTCCAAGCTCTCTGCTTCTGTTCTCGCAGGCCGCTGGCTTGCGAGTATGGAGCTCAGACTGGCTGGACTTTTGTTAGCTGGCGACGGAGGAATGGAAAAGAAAATGGA